TGAAGTCACATGCCTAAGATCACAGGGCCCAATGATTCTGGAGCCTGGATAAAAACCCTAGACCTAGCCTGTTAGTAGTCACTTTGCTCTTTGTGTTTGCTCTTACAGTTTTCCCCCTTATGTAATGCTATTGCCAGATGACAACCCAAGGAAGCAGAAGAGAATTTCTTTTTGGAGCATGTCTGACTCCAAAACCAGTATTTTTTCCTAGCTTCAGTACTAGCTATGACAATTAAAGAGAATTTGAACAATGCAAAGGGAAATTCAGTATGTAAGTTTAATTTCTGACCCACTGATTTGAACTTCTAAAGTCTGTGAGAACCAGGTGTGTGGCTTGCGTAGGTAAAGTGACTACTTTTCCTAATGTTGGATGATTTCGAGATAACCAAAAGAAAAGGTGCCAATCTTTGATAGTTTTTAAAACATACTTCAGTAGTAACTACTAAGATTTTTAAATAACATGTATTTCCATACGTATAATAAATCACCTGGATTTTTATTTGGGAAATTTTCATAAAGTAACTTGAATAGAATCATTAAGAAAATCAGAAAAGCTGAGTTTGACAGAAACAGCACCCAGCCCTGTGGATACTTCTACCTCTTCAGTACTTCTGAACTTCACTAATAAAGTAAGTTTCCTACCTCAAAAACAGAGCTTTAGAAAGCACTGTGAAGACTCTTTCTGAGTCCATTAACGTGTCGAGAAAAGCACTTGACAGTATTTTTCAGTAATAAATCTTTGAAGTCATAATCCTATGAATGAGCACTTTATTAAAGACCACAAAATTTTTACTGCCCATATTTTTTTTATAATTTTTATTATTTTGGCAGGAACTTCATCCCAAAGTGAATGTGTTTCCAAAATCCGAACAACGCTGCTTTGGTCATTTACAAGTAAAGACACTTATGTAAGAAAAGGAATAAGTTCTTTTTTTTTTTTAATGTGCTCTTACAACACATTTTCATATTCTACTGCTAATCTCCAGTGAAGCTTTTTTATAAACATTAAATTCTTTCTAATTTTCGAGCCTTAACAATTCAAGAACTACTATTTACAATTGATTAAAGTCTTATTCATTCTCTGAAGAAATTTGCATAGCTACTAAATGTTGTTGTTCCACTGACAAATACTTTTTGGCATTAGACTTGTATGAAGAATGTAGCTGTGAATAGACAAGTAAAGGGCATTTTTGGTGAAAGCATAATAATGTAATGACTAGAGTTCAAATCCCAGCTTTGCTACTGAATAGCTGTGTGAACTTGAGCAAAGTACATAACCTCTTAAAGTGCTTAGTGCAATGCCTGTGCTAATGGTAAGTGCTTGATAAATGCTGACCATACTAACGATTGCTGATAGTATTAATGTAAAAAGTCTGAGAGACTTAAACTTCACTCTGAAAGTTTACTAGTAGGTAAAATATTGAAAGTGTAATTTTGAAATCATTTTATATATATTGTAGGACAAAGCAAAGGAGTAAATATCAGGGTCTAAAAGATACAAAATAACACGATATTAAGAAAACTCTAGAATAATACTTTTAATTTAAAAATACCACTATAAATGTATTATTAAAACTTATTTCTAGCTCTGGCCACCAAAAGCAATGACACCCAATAGCAATGAGCACACCTAAAGCCTGAATCTTGGTTTCTAAGCACCATGCAGCAGTAAAAGGAACCAAAGCTCCTTAGTGAATAGGCTGATATTAGCTCTGTGTTCTGAAAATTGTGAGTGAACCTAAGATAGTGTCTTCTGTCAGAAAGCAAGGAAGGAGTGAAAAACTAAAGGAGTCAGGTTAAAAGTCACAGAGACCATGTTGGTGGGGTGAAGGCCAAATGTGATGGATTTGGAACACCAAAAAAAATAGTTGATTTTAACACAGTAAATAAACTGCATGTGTCCACAAATTGAAAAAGGGAAAAAAAAATTTTAACTTTTCTTTATAGAAGAAATGCCAATTGATAAGTAAAAGGAATGATAAATTTGAATATTTTCACTTTGCCACCTTTGATGTAAGTTAATTGAAGCAAGAATCAATGGATGTTAACATTGCTAGGTAAAATCAATGAGAAACAGAAATAATAGAAATTATCACCTAAAATTATGTATGTAACTGTGGAAGAAAAAATTGTACCTTTACACTAAAGTGGTGGGACATCAAACTTAGTATCAGCGGCAACAGAACAACCTAACTTTATCTGCCTCTAATGTGATACAATATGAAGTATACAACTTTACCTTTGAAATATTCTTGCCCAAAATGTTTAACCTGAATCCAATCCAGTCTCTAGATACAACTTTAAGTGTATACAGAATAGAGAAACATATTAAACAACATCACAAAGAAACAATTGGATGGCTGGTCTGGACTCTCCAAAAAGTCAATGCTGTTTTAAAAAAAAAAAAAAAAGGCTAAATATATTCAACAAAGGCAATGAATGAACTTTGACTGGATCCCAATTTGGGGAAGAAAACAGCTATAAATGACACACTGTAACAAGGGGTAAAATTTGAACGTGGAATGACATTAGATGATAATTGGTTATTTATTGCTATAACAAATTGTCCCAAACTTAGTGGCATAACAGAATATCTACCATCTCACAGTGCCTATGGATCAGGAATCTGGGCATGACTGAGCTGGGTGTTTCTGACTCAAGGTTTCTCACAATGTTAAATTCAAGCTGTTGACCAGGGCTAAATCATCTCAAGACTCAACCTGGAGGAGGATTCCCCTCCGAGCTTGCTCCCATGGTAGCTGAGGCCTCAGTTCATGGCCACATGGGCCTTACCTTGGGCTGCCTGAGGGGCCTCACCACATGGAGGTTGGCTTCCCTCGAGAGCAATGACTCACAAGAGATCAAAAGAGTGCATGCAAAAGAGAAGTCGCAGCCTTTTTATAACCCAGTCTCAGAACAACATCCCATCACTTCTGACATATTCAGTTCACTGGAAGTGAGTCACTTAGTTTAGCCCACACACAAGGGGAGGAGAATTAAACACCATCTCTCAAGGGGAGGAGTACAAAAAATTTGTGGGCTTAACCACCACCACAGATGATATCGTGGCATTATTGTTAACTCTGAGATGTGATAATGGCATTGTGTTTATGTAGGGTAATGTCCTTACTCTTAGGATACCTATGCTGAAATAGCCAGATACAATACATCTACCATCTGCAACCTATGGTTCTCCAAATACCACATGTGTTTGTGTGTGTGTGTGTAAAGTAATAAAATAAATATATCAAAATGCTAACAACTGTTGCCTCCTGGTGGACGGGTGTTCATTGCGTGCCTTCATACTTTCTATATATTTGAATTTTTCATAAGAAAACATTGGAGAAAATTAATTGAGGATTGCTGTGGACTGAACTGTGTCTCCTTGAAATTCATATGTTGAAACCCTAATGTCCAGTGCGAGGGCGTTTGGAAATGAGCCCTTTGAGAGGTAATGAATGAGGTTTAGATGAGGTCACGAGGGTGGTGTCCTCATTTGAAGATTGGTGCCCCTGTAAGAAGAGAAACCAGAGAGCTTTCTCACTCTCTCTGCCCTGTGACAGCACAGCATGAAGACAGTCATCTGCAATCCAGGAAGGCAGCTCTCACCAGAAACTTTGATCTTGCTCATCCAGCCTCTACAACTGTGAGAAATAAACGTCCACTGTTTAAGCCACCCAGTCTATGAAATTTTGTTTTGGCAGCCTGAGCTGACTAAGACAAGGGTGTTGAAATGATTGAAGTTACTTGATAACACTAATAAAACTTTTGCTCTTTCCACAAAGCTAATGCATCGGGAGAAGAAATCCAGTTGGTAAGAAGGGTCCTTTGGTGCAGGGAATTGGGAGGGAAATGGAGACTGTTGCCATTACTGTGGCTCATTTTCACACTCCAGCTTCCCATCTCTCCTCGGCTTGGCCGTGATGTCGCTGTACACATGGAAGGTTCCCAAAAACGGTTCCCACGAAGATGGCTCCTTCACCTGCAACCCACCAAGCTTGAACCCTCTTCAGCCTGTGGGACACGCTGGACCTCCGTCTCCTTTAGCATTTAACTGACTCCTCTGTATCTTAGTAGCTGATTGCACTAGCACTACCTCGCTTTTTGGAAATTGATCATTATTCTTTGCCACGCAATTTTTAAAAAATATAATTAAAGGATTATAGAATGTTAAAAAACATATACGGTATTAATTCTCATGCTGAAACAGGTTCCCGCTAATTAGGAAAGATCAAACAACTCACCGTATGAAAGCATTTAGAATTAAGAGTCCTTTTCCTTTGACACTCTCTCTCCAATTATAATATCCATATCCTTTGACCCAGCAAGTCCACTTCTAGGATTTTGTCTTACTGATATATTCTCATACATGAGGTATGATCGATAATTGATAGCACCTTTGTTTATAAGAATGTGTAGCATATTACCACTTTTTAAAAAAAAGGAAAAGAAAAATACAGCATGTGGAGTATGTTGCCATTTGTGTTAAAAATAAATAAAAATGAGTATATGCATATAGGTATATGCAATATTTCTAGAAAAGTGTATAAGAAATTGTTAACAGAGGTTCCCTCTGAAAACAACTGGGTGGCTGGAGGAAGTGGGTAAAGGGCAGACTTTTCACCATATATCCTTGTATCCACTTAGAATTTTGTACCTTGTGGATGCATTACCTATTTGTTCAAAAAAATAAATTTAAAAAAATTTAAAGACCTTATAGCTTAACTAAAGACAGACACATCCTCCGTAAACTCTACTTTTAAAGGTTTCGTTTGTTTTTTTTGTTGTTGTTTTTTGTTTTTGTTTTGTTTCTAATTTTCTAACTACATACCAAACAGCCTATGCAGGTCACTGAGTCCCACGCCGCCCCCGGCCCTCCTGCCGTGGGCAGCCATGCGATATTGTGGACAGTAAAGCTGGTGTGCTCGCCCACATCTTCTTTCCAATTTCCACTTCGTAAACATGATCATGGATGCACACACACACTTCACATACTGTACCTGGTGCAGCTTGCCTTTCTCTTCAGTGCAGGAGGCAGCTTTTTTCTGCTCCCTGTTTACTTCTGAAACCAGCCTCATGATCGTTTCTCTGCTAGCTTTTGCCTCCATCTCATGGACAGTTACGGTCTCTTCAAAGGTAACAATTTGTCCTTTCATGAATGCGTTTTCCTCGCACAGCTCTCCAAGCTGAAGAGAAGGCAGTTACAGCTGTCCCATGAAAATTAATAATTTCACACCGCTTTCTCTAAGCGACTCTGACTTATATCCCCCATGAGTGCATTATCATAAAAACAGGGACAGAGTTATCCCCACAACCATACAAAAGATCACATATTCAAAGGCTGCCTTGAAACTCTGCTGTTATGTGCGAACCTGGTGATCAAATTAAAATTAATCAAGAGGTAGCTACAAGGTAACGATGATGAGAGTTCGGCCAAAAGCTTCCGCATAGAACAAGCACCCTGAATGCTAAATAATCAAAGAAATGTGATGCTCTATAGACGTTAGAGCAGGCGAGGGAGCCAGGGAGTTCTGTCCGGCCCACGTCTACTGGCACCAACTGCATGCAAAGCCCTGCCTGGCACAGGAGGGGAATACGGAGAAGAAAGCAGGACTCTCTTTTTTTAAAAAAGAAAATCCTTCTCATTAATACAAGCATAGAAAAATCCTTAATAACGTGCTCAAACAGTGGTGATCATCGGGATTAGCGGGGCTTTTCAGCCTCTACGTTGTGCATTTGTTAACTGGGCGAATTAATAAGATTTGCAAGATTTACAAAGAGGGAAAATAGAACCAGACAGGCTCCTTGGCCCCGAGGAACCGGCCACGCAGACAGCTGGCTCTACATGGCATGAAGGCCTCCAGGGAGACCTGAACCTCCACATGGTGGGTCGCCGTCTGTGTTAGGGCACCAGGGAAGGGACGCACCCCTTAGCCTTGGCGATTTGCCAACGTGGTGCCCTCACCTGAGCCGGGGCTGTTCCCTCTCTCGAACACTTTTCCTCATATTTGCATGCTCACTCCCTAACAGCCCTTAAAAGTGGCCACCTCAGAGGCGCAGTCCTTGGCCCGTCTCCCTGAACCAGCATCCCTTGCCTCTAACCTGCTTCGCGCGCTGTCCCCACACCCACACCTGTTTTCCATCGTTGCACCTTTTACTACGTGGGATAACACTGGACGTGGATGTCTTCCTTCATCATCTTAACCCCACAATACTGAAAGCTCTAGGGCGGCCCAGACTGAGTCGTCTCATTCACTGTTACGTCCCCAGCGCCCTGAACTGCAGCGAGCACACAGTAGTCACTAGCTAAATATCGGGGAAATGGGTGACGGAATGGTAAATAAGTTCTCGGGAGCACCTCCTTTTCCACCGTGGTTCCTGGAGCTGTGTGTGCCCGCGTGCTTACGAAGGCTGTAAAAGTGAGGGAACAGCTTTGAAGTTAAAGGAGGGGTTTTGCTCCACTTTTGGGGGGGCCTATCTAATGACTTGACACAGGCAGCAGCCTTCTTGCTCTCGGCCAGGGATTATTTTTTTTAAGTCAGGCCCCTGCTGAGGTGATTGGGATGATAAAGTTTTAGGGTCCTAGTACCTGTCTTCAAACGTAAGTTTTACTATTATTCAGGTATGGTGAGGCCAACAGATCAGGAGACGGTTGCCACTGAAAAGATAGTTTGCTACTCGCAGCTCCTGAAGGGCGGGGCCGTGACTTTCGGGGCCACCCGCAGAAGCACTAGGGACACAGAGGGAAGCCAGGGGAAAACCCGGCATCCCCGGGAAGAAATGTGCAAGGCAGGAGAAGCAGGCTCGGGGTGGGATGGTTTGCATTGTTTCAGCAGGCTCTGGAGTGCAGAGCCTGTCCCTGGTACCTGGACCTGGAGCAAGTAGGGCAGGGGACAGTGGCCCAGAGTATGAGATCCTGATAGAAGAGGTTGCGGTGTGGGCTCTGGATTGGTTGGTTTGCATATGAAAACCATGCTCCCAGGTGCGTCATTTACTAGGACTTGGCAAGCCCGGAGGGGCCCTCTTTCCTGGGTCAGCCAGGTCCCAGATGTCAAAGCACCAGAAATACAGAAAATCAAAAGCTATGATTAATACGGTAACGGCACCCAGAGATTGTTTCTGATGTGGGAAAGCTTGCTGTGAAAGAAGGAGCTTTTGAATTCTCTTTTCTTTTCCCACCACTTGGCTTTAAAGCTTACCCCACAACTACACCTCAGGGTGGACGCTGACAGCCAGGCACCCCCGGCACAGGTGAGCAATAGGGAGGAGGAGAAGATGCGTCCAGCACGCTTGAGAGTCCCCGGCAGACTCTAGGCCTGAGCAACCGAACCCCATCAGTGAAGTGGGACATTTCCCGAGGTAAAATGGAATCATTTTGCAGCTTTCAGAGAACACCCGTGGGAAACTGACTCATAAACAACTGAGAGATGGCCTTTAAAAATGGCTGCCTGGGGCTCTGTCAGGGAGCAAGGATATGATAGGTTTATTATAAATGAGTCAAGATGTGGTGGGCACTCCCATACTCCCAGGTGCCCTCATGAATCAAGTGAATTTTAATTAATTTCCATCTTAATGGCAACCTACCATTAAAGCAGGATTTTTATTTTTTAGCTTTAATGTAAAATTAAGAAGTACTTTAGAACTAATCTTAATCTTATACTCAATAAGTATCCCCAAAATGAAACACAGCTATTTCGGATTTGGGTTGTGTGTGTGTGTGTGTGTGTGTGTGTGTGTGTGTGTGTGTGTTCCTGTCTGCAACTAACAACAACAACAACTTCCTAAAACGCATCATTAAAATAAATAATTAATTATATTTGACAACCTAAATATATGTTAGACAAAACAATTAATCCTTTCTGGAGAATAATTAATCCCAAATAATACTAGAAAGGGTCTTGGAATTGAGACTCAGAGAGGTGACATAATTCGTCCCATGTCACACGCACTCAATTAATACTACGCTTGAGCCATGTCTCACTCTCCTGCCACCCCCAGACTAGGTCACAGCACTTCCTTTCATGTCACATGTCAAAATTACCCCCCAAATTTATAGCCTTTTTAATCTGCATACAGACACCTTTAGAATTAAATCTTCCTCTGATGCCTTTTCATTCTTCTTGTCTGGATCTAAGCAGTCACGAAGTTGAGCTAGAAACGCCTCGTGTTCCCTGCGGTTCTTTGAGACGCGATTCTCATTCTCCTCATGTTCCTGTAAACACCTTCTATCAGGGAAATAACAAATAAGTCAAGTTTTAGCACCCTAGAAGATACCATTTATCAAACCAAGTTCAGAACGTAACATGCTCTCTATGAGAAATAACCGATCATCACTTTCGACACAATACAGTTTCCCAGACACAGGGCACATCATTGTCACGCAAGTCCCATAAAGGAAGCAGAGAAGTAGCAGCAATTCCGGGGCATCTGCGCTTTGCAAAAATGGATGGAAATCACATGGCATCTTAGATCTAGTAACAGGAAGAGAGACAGATTCTGTCTCCTGTCCCCAACCTCCTACAATCTGCAGAAGTGGCAGGTAGGCCTCTAGGTCACATGTGCACCCATCCGGTCACGGGTCTCTGTTGGGGCTTCGTGGGGAAGAAGGAGAATGCTGCTCCATTGGTTCTAGGGGACCAAGCTTACTTTATTCTCAAACAGCATACAATGACCTATAAGGGTCAGGGCATTTCCCCAGTTGCTGGCCAAGCATAACTATAATAAAAAATACATCAGAGGCACCTCTGCTCATCACCAGCAAAGATCATTATTCTCACGCCCTCAAAGTTTTTAAAGAGTATTGGAAGGAGCCAGTCAAGGAGAATCAGTCGATTTACGCTCTGCTACAAATTCTTGATTTCAAATCTCAGATAGGTTTGCTGAAATAGCACAGTCTATTCTAATGCTTTAACTATTAGAGAGTAACAGATCATCAAGAAACGGACATATTTTAAAGGCAAATTAGAATCATTTCAGTAATTTGGTATCATTTTTCAGTGCTCTGGATAATGCACATGATTATTGCTTTCCCCTTTTACCACGTTGACTGTTTACTGCATATCCTTTCACTCTGTTCAAAAATTAACAAAGCGTGTTATTGCATATGCTCAAAAGCATATCATATTTCTACACAGAAAAACGTATAACAATAAAAGACCAACGTCAGTATATCTCTAGATTCTTATCTTCAGCATACGAAAGGTAATATTTATTCAGTCTCTCTGATTGACGAAAGGCACAATTAATGCTACGGCTCTGACTGATTGATGTATGAGATTCTGTACATTAACTCCAAGATTTCCATTCTACTTCTCCATTCCAAGGATTTCGAAACTACTTCCACTTCTATTTGCATTTCACTCTGACCGAACAAAGTTCCAGGAAGCTATCCCAAAAACATAATCCCATAAATGTGAAAATATGAATGCGTGTGGATATTCCTTGCATCTTGGTTTATAATAACTTTTTGAGGGGAACTAACCCTAAGCACCTACAAGGAATAGCAAATAAAGTTGGTTATATAAATTATGATATTTCCGGCAATGGAATATCATGGGTCATTAAAAATGATATAATGACTTTCTAAAATATCTACAACATGTTCAGTAAAAATTGTTCATGATATGATGTAATTTATGTGCAACTATCTGAACATCTGTTCAACAAAATGTTAACTATAGCTTTTCTGGAATCATAAGATTTTGAGTAATTTTAATTTCTTTTTGGCACTTTTCTATATTTTAAAAAACTCTTTTCCAATGAGTATATATCATTTTTATTACTCATTTAACAAATATTTCTTGGGTGCTTACTATGCATGAGGAGCTATCAAAGATGCTAAAGATACAGAAATAAAAAAAAAAAACGGATAAAGATCCTTGCCCTCAGGTAGCTTATGTTCTGGTTGGGAAGATGAACAATAACTAAAATATTAAAATGTGCAGAAGGTATACTATGTTATAAAAGGGCTGGAGAGAAAAAACGAAGCAGGAAAGAGGATAAGAAATATTGGGTGGAGGGAACAGGGTTACATTTTAGATGTAGTATTCACGGACGTTCTCACTGAGAAGGCGACTTTTGAGTGAAGACCTAAAGGAAGCAGAGGGGCAGTCATGCAGT